ACAAAGAAAATGAGCCTTCAGTAAGGACTTACCTTGTGTCAGAAGCATAGGAGCCTACAGTAAGGTCTTACAAGTCATAGACTAAGCCTGTGACACTTCTTTCAACAATACCCAACTCAGAATAGTAAAACATATCAAATCAGACCTTTGAGATTTGATATATCATGACCATTTAGGACTCAAATATTTCATAAGATAAATCAGAGACTATCATTAGAGTCATTCAGAATTTCAGATAGAGCATAAGTGATTCCATTATTCAGGCAACCAAGGGTATTTTGATATTTCGATTCCTGAAGAATTCTTAGTAACTTAACCCTATAAGGTAAAATGAAAATTTGCAGTATTTCATATTTATGACGACTTATTCAATTCCCAAGTCCAATTGAACTAAACATATCTCATCATTATTGTACTTACCAACTAATCTGTCAGGGGCACTTCACAGATGTTAATTCCTTAATACCTACTACATTATGAAGTTGAATTATTCATCGTCACGATATTCCTTAAACAAATCCTGAGGAGACACAACTTTCTTTATATGCTATTTATCCTTATTCTTTTAGTGTAAGAGTATAAAAAAAGGCAGTATACTCAGGTTATACTCCATAATTCTTATGAACGTTATAGTATTTTAAGATTTATTAGCATTTTTTAGAACTTATCCAAAGACATTCATTTAATATAAGTCATGAGGGTATTTAGGTCGTTCCAGAACTTGAGAGTATTTCGGTTATTTTAAAGCTCAAGTGTTTCGATCATTTTAAAGCTCAAGGGGGTAACTCGATCATTTTTAATAAATCCAGTTCTATAGAGTTCTTACGGTAAAATTATCTTTAAGAGTTGCTCAGAAATCAGAAATTTAGATTGTACCTTCTCAGAGGTTAAAAAATCACTATCAGAAAACTTTCAGACGGATTAGGAGTTTAACAGATAAATCGATATTCATATTAGATCAAATCTTTATTCTTAAGTTAATTCCACCATTAGAGGAAATCCACGTCCTTTTTAAAGCTTAAGGGTATATCCTTCATTTCTCATCCAAATATTTACAATATAAAAACTCTTAATAGGAAGAATCAAAATTTTGGTTTAAAGGCTAACTTTATTCAACTTAAAATTTATATTGGTCCTCTAGTTCCTTATGTTGGTCACTCGAGTCTTAAATAGTTCACTAACATTATACCAAAAATTAGAGTAAACTCGGAATAACTAACCATAAGACCTATCCAACTCATATTTATTCATGCACTAATCAATTACCAACCTGTACCATAAAGCATGTATAGAGTAGTAAAGTATTACCTCGATTTCTGAGCTACGTTGATCGATCATTTAACACCACTTGATCCCTTTTGAACTTAAATTCAACGTCCCACAATATCTTAGATACAAGGCAAAAAGGAATTCTATTAAAATTGAGCTTAAACGCATAAAACAGGTCAAATCATAAAATAAAATGCTAAAAAAAGCTTAACGATTTTGAATTTGACGAAATAGACTGCAAAAAAAGTCTCAAGACGTCGAAAAATATTAGAATATGTGGTCTCAAAAAAAGTCAACGGTATGTCACCATCAGTCAATTGTGGTCAACGTCGGTCAATAAGGATTAACGGTCAATGATAGTCAATAGTTGACTCAGCTGGACAACTTTGACTCATGGCTCGACTGAACTCGAAGCTTGGTTCGACTCACATCTAGACTCGGTTGGACGGTTGGACGACTCGGCTCGAACAGACCCCCCAAGCGGCAGACGAAGCCCACACGCAAGGGAAAGAAGCTCGCGCACAGAGGAAAGTGTGTGAGGTGCGTACGGTGGCCTATGGTGGTCGAACGATCACTAATTTTTGCACAATTAAATTGTAAAGATCGGGAAGTCACTTACCGGTGTTACTTTGTGACGGTGAATAGAGGAGGATAATTTTTTTACCTCAGTCAAAACTTGTTTCCGCTCACCCCCTTCACGCGACGACTGTCGACAACAACTTGACCACCGATCAACTCCTCTCCATGCTAGAAACACGATGGTGTTGGCCGTGTCGTCAACGGACGGCTGATCGACGATGAAACGAGGGTGGAAGCTTTCTTGAAGAGAGGTAAAACTTAAAAAAAAATAGAGAGAGATGAAATTTTTCCAAAAGGGGAAACTTCTAGATTTGGGGGCTTTTAAACCCAATATTATTGGATAGGTCCCTGAACTTTTAATACTTTTTATTTGAGTTCAAAATCAATAGAAATTCATTGTAGTCCCCAAAATTTACCAAAATCTCAATTTAATCCTTGAAATAGATTAAGAAAAAAAATAGTCCCAAAATTGAGGTGTGACACTCAAACCTAAAATTTCTAAAAGTACGTGAGAGATTCTTTTTCCTTACCAGAGGAGGAAACTAAAGAACAAGATCGATATCTTAAAATACATAAAATAGGAGTCCTATGTTGAATTTAGTTATAAATAATAAAAAAATATTAAAATTATATAATTATTCAAATTTACTTATTAGACTAGTATATAATTTTCCTGTTGCTTTATATTTGATAAAACGAGTGTATTTTGATCTAACATTCTATTTGAAGTATTTTAAGATATTTCGAAAAATTAATTGACATATAATTTATCCATAGAAAGACATGTGAATCTAAAAACGTTCAAGTCATTAGTTTTTTTAACTTCTATCATTTGTGTGTTATTTATATTTTTCTTTTCATCTTTGTTGATAGGCGGTGACATTAACATTGATGTAAATTGTCGATTGCTAGTGTTTTTTTCTTTTACTTTTTATATTGCATCTTTATTTTTTTTATTGTTTTTAGTTTTCAATAAATTTGTATTTATGATTAGGGCTGTAAATGAGACGAGACAGATCGCGAGCTACTTGAGATTGACTCGATCTTGGCTCGATAAATACTCGGATCGAATGGACTCGACTCGAGCTCGAACACGACTCGAGTTCTTAATGAGCCGAAACGAGCTACTCGATACTCGACTCGAAAAGCTCGTGAGCAGCTCGAAAAAAATGTTATATTATAATTTTAGATTTTTTAAAATTACATTATTAAAAATATATTAAAAATACATTATTGATGAATAAATATTCTTAAATTGAAAATGGTTAAAAATTATTTTTGAATAAACTTTATTATATTTATTTTAAATTCATAAAAAAATTATTTATCTAATGAAAAATATTTAATATATTTCTAATGATAATATTTGTAATAACTAATTTTTTAAATTGTTGTTATATTTTGAAGTTTCAAGTTCAAATATCATAAACATCAAGGGTTTGAGCATTTAATATCAAGATACTATATTGTACTTACCTCATAACTAATTTTTTATTTAATAATAAATATAATATAATAAAAAAATATGATTCAATTTAAATATTAATAATTTAAAAAATATATATCAAAACAAGTATACCCTCTCTCCTTTCACTAAGCCATCTCATTCCTTCAAATTATGTGATAAGGTTTAGGGTTTAGAGTTTAGAGTTTAGAGTTTATGTGATATGATTTAAGGTTTAGGGTTTATAGTTTAGAGTTTAGAGTTTATGTAATAGGATTTAAGGTTTAGAGTTTAGTGTTTACAGTTTAAGGTAGGTTTAGGGTTTAGAGTTCAAAATTTAGAGTTTTAGAGTTTATGTGATATGATTTAAGGTTTATATTTTAGGATTTAGAGTTTAGAGTTTTAGAGTTTATGTGATATGATTTAAAGTTTATATGTTTAGGGTTTTTATATTAGGGGTTAGGGGTTAGGGTTTAAGTTATGACATACAAAATGGCATAATTATCTCATCTGATCCGAATATAACATATTTTCAGCTAAATATTTCGAAATATTTATTCTAAATATATACATATATTCTGAATCCGACAAATCACCCAAAAATTCAAATATTCTAAATGTACAATATCCATTAAAATCCGACAAGCCAACATGGAATATATAATATTTATCCAAATTGTATTTAAGGCAATCAATTTTACATAACATTCATGTTTCAAATCAATTTCAACCAAACAAATAATAAGAAGCCAAATAAAATAATGTAGCCCCAATTAAAAAGACACACCTCATTAACAGTTAAGGACCGATAATAACCTTTATTACGATCAGCTCGAACAGTGGATCGACCCGAATTAGAACATACAAAATATTTTAAATAAACAAATTATTCTAAAATTAACGACAAGACCAACCTACTAAAATTTGACAATTAACATTCACAGTCAACACAAGCTGCAACAGTCGATTTGAAGTTCGTGGGTAAAGTGGAGGAGGCTGTAACTCGATTCCTAATTCAAAATTTCCTAAAAAATTCACGATGCTTGATTTCAAATTCAAATACCAAACTTCATAATGTAGGAAATAATTTTACAGTGACAGAAATGTGTATGTATATATTTTTCTGGTTCGAGTCGGAGAACTGGCCTGGCAATGAGTTCCATTCGAATATAATATTCGAACAAAACAACGGAGGGGGCTACCGAGAGTAGTCCACAAGGGTCGGCGAACTTACGACTGTACTTGCCGTGACATTAAACGGCCGGCCACCATATGGCAGTGGCAGCAACAACCAAACAGAACAGACAAAATGGAAAAACAAATAAAAAATAGAGACAAAATCAACTTGTTCGTGGCGAATCTTTCATATGAAGTGAGGGCTCTGAGGGTGCTAATGTTGTTTCTGCTGAAGTTATATTTCATGATAATCCGAGAAAGTCATCCGGCTATGCCTTTGTCTCTTTCAAATCCAAGAAAGAAGCTGATGCAGCACTGTCTGCTTTCCAATGGAAGGTAGTTCCTTATTTTGTAAATTTCTAGATTATTTTTTTTGTATTTTCAGTCAAGAAACTGATAATTTGTGATTGCAGATGTTTATGGGAAGACAGATTCGAGTGCAACGTAGTCGATAATTCGTGAAAGTCATGTTAGGTCGTGAATGCTTGAATTAAATTCAAACAGGAAGTTAACCTACTTTGGTAATTTGAGACTTTTCAAAGTTTCCACCATGGATGCAGCACGTTCTGGAATAAACCAACATATTAACATGTCTCCCGAAATGGCCAATGAGATAAAGGTTTGTAGACATTTTTGTTGAACTTGTTCTCCTACTCTTGTGATCTTCCACATGTTAACAAAATTTAATACATATATAGCAAGCGGAGAACCAGATAAAGAGAATACTGGGAATTGGAAATCGCATATCAGAAAGAAGGTTGATCGATGATCTTACTAGAATGGGGATGAACGAATCAATTGTAAGTAGTTAACTTAAAAACTGATTCATTCGGGTATGCCAATTTTCGGGTTGTATGTACATCCGGTTCAATCATGTTTGTAATATGGTGGTTATGTTTGGCAGGTAAGAAGAGCCATTCTAATTATGCACCATAGGGGTGAAGTTGAATATCAACGAGAAAGGCATGTAATTGTCCGTAAAGTATGATGTTGCTGTTGTAATATTTGGGAAGACAAGTTCACAGTCCAACGATAAATCGGCCGAGTGAAAAAGCTGAAACCAGAACCAGAAACAAGGTTCACTGTCCTAACTCCTATGTGAGTTATATCCCACATCGGTGGTTCTTGGGGAATAAGGGGTAAGTCGAATGTATAAAAGGGGTTGGGTTTCAACAAAAGAATATTAACCTATCCTCGAGCTTAAGTCGAGCTTGAATCGAGCTTGAATCGAGCTCAAAATCGAGCTTCAATTGAGCTTGAGTCTTGAGCTTCAATCGATCTCTTGAATTTTTTTCGAGTTCGAGCCTTTTCGAGTTCCAGTCGAGTTTCAATATTATTTTTCGAGTTCGAGTCGAGCTTGAAAATTTTAGGCTCGCGAGTTTTTCGAGTCGAGTCGAGCTTATGTTTAAAGTTTTCGAGTTCGAGTCAAGCTCGGCAATACTCAAGCTCGACTCAGCTCGTTTACTCCCCTATTTATGATACGTATTCATATATCTTTATAACATGTTTCCCCCATTTCTTTTAGCATGTTTTTGATATGTTTGAGTGTTGTTTTTCATTTATTTTTTTTTTGTAAGAGTTGATTCGACATTCCCACGATTGATCAATTATTTATTATCATGTTGATCTTCGTTACTTCAAACCCTTATATTGAATTTGGATACTTGATCTGCCTTCGTGGATAGTTTTTTTATGTCGCTCGACTTTGATATACAATTTTTTCGGTGATCTTTCAATAGCTTAATCACATTTTACGGTTCATTTACCAATGCAATCAGATCTATTTGTATCTATCATTGTTCGAGTTTTGGTAAGCTTTTTTAATCTTTCCTTGTATGATCCTCATGTGATCTTAAGTTACTAATTTTGTATCAATAATTTTTAAAAAAATCTCCTAATTATATACTTACTTTACTATTATTATTATTCTTATAAATCTCTATCATGTGCTTAATTTTCTCCTTTAAATATATCACTAATAGTGAAATAAAAGATAAGGAATATTATAATCTTAATTAATATTAAATTTTGAATTAAATTTTAAACCTACTTTTTTATATAAAAATAAATAATTTAGGACGAATGTCATTTAATGATATTGATGGCTTAAGCATCGAGTATATTCCGAAGATTTAATTGTCCATTTGCTTTATTTGTTCATTTATCCAACATTGAAATGTGCACCCTACATCTTAGAATCAGGACAATCCTAAACACACCTGACTAGTAAAAACTGTTTTTAACCTGCGCTGTAGTGATCTGAAACTGACTCGAATCGAAATTGGTGTTTACCTGAATCCGAGTTGTACCTGGAAATTGTGGATCTGAACCCGACTTGCACCCGACCTGAGAACGACCTTAATTCGAATTGAACCGAAAAAATGATACATGAACTTGACCTGCATCCGACTGATATGAACCCGAACTTGAGATTAACCTAGTATTACCCGACATGTTTTCAACCTGTCTTGTAAATGATCCGACTTGTTATTGACCTGATATGATATTTACCTGACTGAACATTTACCTGACTTATATATTATCATTGACGAAATTATAAGATTTTAATAAAATTATGAGTTTTTGAGTTTATGATAGAACTAAAAAATTAATATGATCAATTTTTAAACGTTATAATAAAATATTTATTAATATAATTAAATTAATAAATAGGCCTATTATATAAGATTATTTAATAAAATTTATAAAATTATTTAAATATAAATTATATAAAACATGATTAATAAAAATATTGGAATTGAACAATGATTAAATGTAAATTAATATAGTTTAATTTATGTAAACTATATAGTTTAATTTATGTAAATAAAAAAATAATATTAATAATGTAAGTATTTATTATCTAATTTATATTAGAGTTTTACATTATTAAAATGAAATGATAATTATTTTGATAATAAATGAATATTGGTATTGAACGTGATTAATTCTCTAAAATATAAATATAAAAGATAAATTTAATTGATAATGATAGTTTAAATAACATTTGATATAAAATTTGAATAATATTTGAGTTAATTCAAGTTAAATAGAATAAAATGAAGAAAAAAACAGTGTTTTTTTAAGCTCTCAGATCTTATAACAAAAATGTTATAAGGCTAAAAGCCTAACTTTGCTACCAGAAATTTCTTCATCGAGCTTTTGTATCGAAATAGTTGCCAACATTGCAATAACATGAAAGAATAAAAGTCTTTAATTATTCAAGTTAGTTCATACTCGTTTTAATGGTTTTTTTATTTCATCAAGTATCTTTGCAAAAGAATAATCACCAATAACGATAATTTTGTCATTTGAATGATATCCTGAGGTTGTTGATGCAATTTGAAAATTCCAACAAGTTCTTCAATTTTTTTCACCACATAAAATGTTATCACCCATTTTATCCAAGTGGTGACATGCACGTGGCATTTCATATTATAGAATAAAATATAATAAATAATGTGGGCATAGTATATATATAGTATAGTTTAGGTATTAAATACATTACATCATCTAGTTTCATTTTTTGCATAAGGTAGTGTGCATATTATATAGTTGCATATATTATGTATTATAGTGTATTAAATAATAATTGTATGTTATTAATTCATGTGATATTGCATGTTATTAATTCATGTTGCATTGCATGTTATTAATTCATGTTACATTAGGTGTTAAATAATTAGTATGTCACATTGCATATTATATGGTTCAAAAATAGTAGTACATGTCATATTAATTTCATTTTCATAATTAGTATTTTAGTTGCATGTTAGGTTAATTCACATTAATATCCCATTTATTTTGTTGTTATGAATAAGTAATAACAAAACCCGAAAATAAGTCCATTTGCATTAGTGCTAGTCCATTTACATTAGTTTACATAAGTTCAATACATAAGCCCACTCTTTTATTACAAATATATATGCATTATTAAATAAAAACAAAAAAAACCATAATCTAATGTGTGCCACCGATTTTGTGGTGTAGGAGAGAAATTTTGGCTTTGATTTTTAAATTCAAGCAATGCATTAAATGACTCAACTTTCAAGGGAGCTTACATCACTTATCCATGTCTGAAAGCTCAAGCAAATCCCGACCCTTGATAAGCCTTGATCCAAAGGCCATGAAAGCTTCAATCCAAGTGAAACAAACACAAATTTATGAGGACCCTTGGATGTAAATCTTGATCCAATGGCTCCCATGTTGCCACGTCATCAATCCATGGCTAAGAAGCACAAAACAATCTAAGCCATTGGATCAAAAAATAGATCGAAAGGCCAAGATTGTGTCTTCTCCAAATATTTTAAATTATTTCAATTTCATCCCTATATAATTTATGCTAATAAAATAATATTAATATAAATTATATATTATAATTAATATTAATATAATTAATATTAACTTATATTAATATAATATAGTTTATAATTTGTAATTAATATTACTATAAAATATAGTCTATAAAATTAATATTAATATAAACTATATTTAATAAATTATATAGTATAGTTTATAAACTATATACTATATTAATATAAATTATATTTAAGATAATTAACATTAATATAAACTATATAGTACATTAATATAAACTATAGTTTATAAATTATATACTATAGGTTATAAAGTATAAACTATATAGTACACTAATATAAACTATTGTTTACAAACTATACGTTACATATATAGTTTATATAACATATAAATAGATTGTATATATACATATACTATAGGTTATATATATATAGTTTATATATACTATACATAGTTTATACATACATCTACTATAAGTTACATATATAGTTTACATGTATACATATACTATAGCTTACATATATTAACTATTGTTTATAGACTATAGGTTAATGTTACATATATAATTTATATAAATTATGGTTTATATAAACTATATATGAATTATCAACTGTCTATATATATATATATATATATATATATATATATAGTTTATGGTTTAGGGTTTAGTGTTTATGCTTTAAAGTTTAGGGTTTATGCTTTAGGGTTTAGGGTTTAGGGTTTCTATAAACTATAAACTATATACTTTATTACTTTATATAGTTTATGCATAGTGTTTCTATAAACTATAGAAGTAATTTACTTTATATAGTTTTTATATATAGGTTATATATATATATAGTTTATATATACTATACATAGTTTATACATACATGTACTATAAGTTACATATATATTTTAGGGGTTATGATTTAGGATTCAAGGTTAAGGGTTTAGGGTTCATGTTTAGGGTTTATGGTTAAACTATATACTTTATTACTTTATATAGTTTATGCATTGTGTTTCTATATATATATATATATAATCTATAGATTACTTATATTAGTTATACATACATATATATACTATATTAATACAAATTATAATTTATTTTTATATAGTTTATACATACATACATACATACAGAAAATTAAAAGTAATTAGAATGTACACAAGATTAAATTGCATCGAATTAAAAATTCAAGAAGATATTTACAATTAAACCGTGACTAAAACGAAAGAAATCAAAAATCAAATACAAGTGGAAAAATGATGATTGTTGGAGGAGCATGAGCTTAATTAACCCAAAATATCTTGTTAGACACTATCATTGGCGCCAACTTCCCAAAATTTTCTATTCCCTCTAAATTTCTCAATTTTCCTCTAAATTCCCAATTTCTCTTTAAATTCCCAATTTCCTTATATTCTCAAAACTTCCCAATTTTCATCTAAATTCCCAAATAAAATAAAAAAATTTCACACAAAAAAATCTTTCTTTTAAAAAGTTTTCTCCCACCACTCACTTTGAATAATATATATATACTATATTAATATAAATATAGTTTATACATATATAGTTTACATATATAGTTTTTATATATAGTTCATATAAACATAATTTATATATATAGCTTATAATAATTATATAATTTATAATATAAATATAGTTTATATATATTGTTTTTATATATA